TCACTCAGAAAAATACATAAACAATTAAAAACTCGAAACATCATCTAAGTACTACAATCTCATTTTCTCATTTAAAATGCCAATATATAGAGCACTGGCCAGCGGACTGAAGGGTCCTGGGTTTGATTCCAGCCAAGGGCATGTACTTCAGTTGTAGGCTCCATCCCCGGCCCTGGTTGGCACCTGGGAGGCAACCAGTCAATATGTCTCACTCGCATCGATGTCTCTCTCTGTCTCTGTCTCTCCCCTCCACGCTCTCTAAAAGTCAAAAAATATCCTTGGGTCAGGATTAACAAAAAACAAACAAACAAAAAAAAAAGATGTCAATATAAAAGCAGTACCTAGCAAAAACATAAATTACTTTCTATTGAAAGATTGTCAGTTTGACATAAATAGGGTATATATTCAATCTAGTATGAAATCATGTTACAATTAAACATAACATGACTCATTTATAATCATTTCACTTGCAGTTTGGAACTCACAAGATAAACTATGTAGCTATCTTCAAATTTTGGCCTATTAATTTAGAAAAAAACAAAAACTTAGGTCAATTGAACTATAATATAATTGAAATACTATTTATAATTAATTGATGCAATTTTTAACATGGCTCACCAACTGGTTGAAAGGCCACAAGCAGGAATTTCACACCTGCAAGAGAACACATGCAATAATCCTCATAAAATAACATTATGAAATATTCATGTGATTTGGGAAGTGAGTATCAAGTTAAATGCCAAACTTGAATCAGTTCGATTTTGCTCTTATCCTAAAATAATTTTTATGTTTCTTTCATGTTAACATGGGGAGCTAAACTTGATGAGATCTTTAATAACTTACTATAAGAATACAATTAAAAATATTTAACTTAGTTATCTTTCACCTATGAACTTCATGTATCTCTGAAAAACTACAGATATAGAAAATGTAAAGTTAAGTAAAGCAAAACAAAATATACATAGACACATAAATATAGAGACACTGTTTTAGAAATGTGACAGAAAAATATATGTAACACTATATATTAAAAAATATACACATATAAAAGTAATTATGTTTTCCACATAAAAATACATTTTAAAAAGTCTAAAAATGTGAAGGGAAAGTAAAATGAGACATATCTTCCTATAATGCTTTCCATTTTACAGAGAAAATATAATCATGTATTTGTGTAATTAACAATTATTAGAGAAAAAAGTTTATAAAGCAAACCTTACTTTTCTATATATTAGTTTATAATCTTATGTCTTTCCACTGAAAAAAGTCTGACCCAATACATAATCATACAAATACTTAAAAATATGATAACTACTTTCTGAATATCTGCTTTAAAATAATTATTCTATAAAATAATACTAATACTCTAATCTCCTATTAAATCTTACTGTTTTGTCACTCAAAAGGCAAGTAAGGCAAGTTTAAAAAGCTCAAAGGAATTTACTTTTCCATAGTACTTTTGGCATTGCTCACTTTTTCAGGCAGATTTATACTGGAGTTACTAGCTACCTTCATTTTTCTACAGCCTTACCAACTTAAGACTCTACCCTAAAACATGACAGATGTGTCCTAACATTCTTCATGGCTTTACTAACAACATTGTCATTTTTTATTTCTGATTCCAAATAAATAACATCCATTTGAAAAGAGTATGTGGTAAAGGATCTCAAAAACAGTTTTATATTCATAACTAGAGGCCCAATGTACGAAATTCATACAAGAGTAGGCTTTTCTTCCCCTGGCTGCCAGCAGGCACCTGGGACACAGGCTTCCTTTGCAGACCTGGCTTTGTCTGGAAGGTCGTCCGGAAGGACATCTGGTCTAATTAGCATATTATGCTCTTATTATTATAGACTAGAAGCCCAGTGCACAAAAATTTGTGCACTGGCGGGGGTGGGGAGTCCCTCAGCCCAACCTGTGCCCTCTCACAGTCTGTTCAAAAATGTTTCAGGTAGGAACAGAGAAACAAAGTTATAAATTTACTATCCTATATAATAAAAGGCTAATATGCAAATCAACCAAACAGTGGAATGACCGGTCACTATGACGCGCACTGACCACCAGGGGGCAGACGATCAATGCAGGAGCTGCCCCCTGGTGGTCAGTGTGCTCCCACAGGGGGAGCACCGCTCAGCCAGAAGCCGGGCTCATAGCTGGCGAGTGCAGCAGTGGTGGTGGGAGCCTCTCCCGCCTCCACAGCAGCACTAAGGATGTCTGACTGATAGCTTGGGCCCACTTCCCATGGGGAACGGGCCTAAGCTGTCAGTTGGATATCTCCTGAGGGCTCCCGGACTGCAAGAGGGCACAGGAGGCACCCCTCCTGAGGGCACGAATTTCGTGTACCAGGCCTCTAGTCTATATATATAAAAGGCTAATATGTTAAGTGTCTGTCCATCCGGGTAATGACGCCACACAGCAACGCCCAGCTTCCTCTCCCTAGTGACGACTAGCCTCCTTGCAGTTTCTTCAGCCCAGGAACACAACTTGCTTTATAGCCAGCTGGAAACATTTCACACTTGAATCAAATGTCTGTGAAGTGTTTTCCTGTGCCTCATCTCATTTCATCCTCACAGAAGTCCTGGAGTAGGTAGATAGGAGACTCGGTAGAATCCTATATTCTTTTCATTAGCCAGAAAATGGAGATTTAGAAAGTTTAGAAACTTGACCCGACTGAAAAGAAGTAAGACATGGTGGACCTTGAAAATGACTTCAGGTTTTGTCACTGTGAAGAATATAGTCAAACAATGCTGCAGTTAAATATTTTACCATTTGTTCTCCCTGCGTGATCTACAATAATAATCTACTTTGTGTTGATATTTACTGCTGTGTTGCTGACAATTACCTGAAAGAGGAGCTGGGGGTGCTTCACTGGGCTGGAAAAAGTTTAGCTAAATCAGAAAGCAGGTCTAATTAAGCAAGTTTATTCTATATCTATAAATGGCTAAATTGACTCGTGCATGCACGATACATATAAAGCTCTTACTGGCGCCAATCACACAGGTAAGTTTCGATCTGTCATTGTCGGTCGTGAATTTGGTTGACACTTCTATTATACAGAAAGGGCGAACAGCAATATTAAAATATTTCTTCTAATTAATTTCCTTTCAATGCACACAAATTTGTGCACTGGGCCACTAGTTATTAATGAAAGAAAATCATGCCCTTCTTGAAAATGACAATTGCAGGGAAGAGGACAGCAAAGTTAGACAAATGGAGAGCAGAGGACACACACAGAAGTAGCGAAAGAGAAAGCAGAAAGGGAGAGGCAGAAACGTGTCCCATCACATGGTGAAAGAGATACATATTTTGAGGGTAGAAAGGATCAGAGGAACAATTTCACCATCTATCACACCTCCCCAAAAGAAAAAGACCCATGAAAAAGGCACCAAAATACACACTAGTACCTACACACAACCTTTTTGAAAGTTCAAAACTTAAAAGTAGTAACTGGGAGAAATCACCATCTATAAAAAGCCAGAGAAGGGGCTGTAGAGGACAGCAACTCCACTCCTTCTTCCCCTATGAAAATAAGAGTTCTTTTCCTGGCCAGTCATCAAATGTTCACACAATATATATACAAAAGAGAATGTGGCTTTCCAAAATAAAGACAGCAAATTAAAGGCATACAGAATATCAATGAACAGGTAATTATGCACCCAGTAATTAATTTAGTCACCTATGAGACGATATTGCAGAATGTTACTTTATATAAAGACATAGAAGTGTATGCACATGCACTTTTAAGGTAAACTATCATAAAGTAGGAATACAAAACCTTCAACAGCAAGACCACTGTTTTGCCTCTAGAGGGCGAACTTGGTCTTCTGAAAAACTGACAGGAGACGTGATTTTCAGACTTTACAAAAAAAGTTAAAACTTAAAATGCTAAGAGAGCAAAGATTCCCAGATTTTCTTGGTTAACAGTGCCCTCAGTGTCCCAGTAATTTTTCCATCGAGCCTCCCCAAACTAACAAAAATACCTAATAATTCTGTTTAATAACTACAGCAGTTATGTCTAACAATTTAATAGAATTTATGTCCTAACACGTAGTAGTCATTTGAAAATATAACGCACATAAATTAAAGAAAAAGTTTTATTTCACTCCTAAATAACCACAATTAATTACTAATTGAGCATGATATTGTATACTGTACAATTTCTCAAAATTTGAAATCCAATTAGATACTATCACCATTTTTCCTGTTCCACACTTATTTTTGCACATTATCTGATTTTTATCAAAACCTCAGAAAAATTAGATTCACAAAGATGTGAAAAGAATATAGTGCCATTTAATGTTGAAATTGTGTACTACCTCAAGCTAAAAGTCTACCATATCTGACAGATGTGGAATATCACTGAATTTGCCATGGTTCCCCCACTAGCTGAAACACCTGGGTGCCTGAGTACACACCTTGGGAATCAGCATAGTTTTAAGTTTAAACTACTCAACATTTTAATTAATTGTAAACAAAATTAACTATAACTAATGTTTTTAAAGATCTAAAAATTGTTTTCTTATATCACTTTTGGGAACAATCTTTCTTTTGAGCAATAAAAGGAACACTATTAAATGCTTAAAGGAAGATGTTTTTCCAATTTGAATGATGATTATTGCCTTAATGTCATTGTTTTTATAATGCTGGTTGTGTTGAATCTGATAAACTACAATTGGGAAGCAGAGAAATAGAAAATTTATTATATATCTCCCGAGCAACAAATTCTCCTAATTTAAAAATGCTACAAATTGATCCAGTCTTACTGCTTTCCAGTCTCATCGATCTCCTAGTGAGGAGCACAAATTTACGAGTCAGGTAAGATCTGAAACTCTTTAAAACTCAAGAATAGAAATATTAATACAGATATTAAAAGAATTAGCTACTAAACTACTAAAAAAGATTATATATACGTACACTCATCTCACAAAGTCCTTGGTTTAGATAGAACATCAGAAAAGTAATCAAAGAGTTCAACCTCAAACTCTACTCAGTTTTTCTTTTTACTGTTTCATAAGTTCACAACTACCTATATCCACAAAATCTGTGCCACTGGCAAATGCTACCGTGTTCAATTCGAAGTCAAAATCTGTGGTGAGAGTAGTTAGCTAACAATAAGAACAACGATAACAAAAGGCTATCCAAGGAATAACTAGGAAACAAAATCAATATTCTTTTTTTTAAAAATATATTTTTATTGACTTCAGAGAGGAAGAGAGAGGGAGAGAGAGATGGAAACATCAATGATAAGAGAGAATCATTGATCGGCTGCCTTCTCCACGCCCCCGACTGGGGATCAAGCCTGCAACCCAGGCATGTGCCCTTGACCGGAATCGAACCCGGGACCCTTGAGTCCGCAGGCTGACGCTCTATCCACTGAGTCAAGCCATCCAGGGCAATATTCTATTACTTTAAAGAATTTTCACAACCATAAAAGATAATTGAAAATGTGTCATGTTTTAAAAATATATTAAGGTTGCTAGAAATATCTATAATCCCAAAATTTTATATGTACAAAAATATAAATGAAAGTAGGACATGGTTAATTATCAAGAAAATATATTTGAAAAACTAAGACAAAACACATGGCTATGTTAGTACTTACCTGCTGAATAATTTTGGAAGTTTTCTGAAGATTCTCTCTGGGAGGAACTTTACCAAATAATTTCCAACCAGGAGCACTATGGACAACTGATTTGAGTTCCTTTGTCCTTTTTGAAAAAAGGTTTCTGAAATACAAGAAAGTTACATGAATTATGTTTTTTATGATAACTATGGAACTACTTAATAATAATTTCTAAAGTTTACTCCCAAGACAACACAAAATAATTTTAAATAAAATTATTTCTACTATTATTAGACTAACAAGACTCAATTAAGAATACCTGCCTACATAGAAATATTAGAAAAGTCATCAAAAGAGATATTAGAGAGATAAATAAATTGGAGAGAAAATGACAAGCTTTAAATAAGATGCAAATATTTGCTTCAAATCACCTATAATGTGACTTGAATTGACTATACATGCATGCACTTCACAATAAAATCCAAGAAAGTGAGAACAACAAAGCTCAAGAGAAACTGTATGAAAATGTAAAGGATTAAGTAAAAATCTTTTGGGAAAATACTATTCAGTGATTTTCAGTAATAATTTGTTACTATTTGTAGTAAAAGGTCATCTACTGATACTTCACTGTCATAATACAGGCATACATAAATTGTTTTTTTTTCTAGGACAAGGTATGTACAAGGTAATTTACTGCATAAGAGTATATAACTAAGAAGAAAGTGTCTCTCACTGAAAAGGATAAAAAGGGAAAAAAGCAAAATAACCTCCACAATAAAAACCTGGTTCCAATATGCATCACCATTACAATGGTAATAAGTTCAGAATGAAGTTTAAATTCTCATTAAATCATAAAAACAAAACAAAGTCAATACTTTAAATTTTCATATCTAAAAGACTTTGGTTACTATAAGAAATTTCCATAAAAGAAATATGAGCCCACAGGTATCCAATTACTAAGAAAGGCCATCAGATAACGTTCCACATTAATTTCTTATGCCACAATGACATTGTGAATTGGGTTTTCAGTTTATGTCCTGCCACAAAAATGACTTAGAATGTAGCTAACTGGCATACATCTGCAATAAAAAGTAATTTAAAAATATTTTTCCAATTACAGGCCCTGGCAGGGTAGCTCAGTTGGTTAGACGTCCTCTGGATGTGCCCAGATTGCAGGGTTCGATCCCTGGTCAGGGCACATACAAGAATCAAGCAATGAATGGATAAATAAGTGGAACAACAATCGATGCTTCTCTCTCTCCCCTCCCCTTCCTCTCTCCCTTCCTCTCTCTAAAACCAATCAATAAAAATTTAATTAAAAATAAAATGATATTACAGATCAAATGGGCTTCTACTGATTAATCTAGGAAGGGAATTACTACTTGATTACATTTTAAGGGGGAAAACCCAATGAAAAGGTACATAAATAAGCCAATAATGTGTAATACTCTGTTCTTTTCATGCACCATCCCTTACCCCCCTATCCACTGTCAGCGGACTGGTGAAGTAGAGATTCCAATGCAAATAAATGTGGGGGACTAGGTTCCTCCTCATCACCTTTCAAACTGAAGACAGACACACACACTTCCCTTTTTCCTATCCCCCCAAATATTCAAATTTCTTACATTTAAATCAACACTAAAAGCTTCTTAGCAAAACAAACCAAATGTGTTCAAGCACCCATGAGAGAGAAGACCATTCTTTCTCTCTATGTTGCAGAGACAGAGCTTGACTCTATGAATGAGACTTATATGGCAGTGATGGGGGAAAGGGTCATTCTTATTCTGTATTCTTCTAGTTTCGGGGTAGGGGCAGAAGGAAGGGACACCCCTAGCTTCTCTCAGCCCCCTACTCATTCCCATCTGTGGAGCTGAAATTTGGTGCCAGACATTGCTGCCTAACAGCAGAGAGGAATCAGTTTGTCCTGCTTTCCTAATATGAGGCTAAAGTAGTTTTCTCTGCACTCCTTTGTCCCCAATCCTCACAGGAAAGGCCTTGCTGTGTTAACTGGATAAATTTAAATCAGGTGAAGTATTAGGAGGGCCACTGCAGCCAAGGCATGTCTTTCCATCCGGATTTCATCAGTATTAAAGCTGATGCTGTGAGGTCCCATTTGTCTGTGTCCTATGTCTTTTTTCCTATTGATTCCAAACTCAGAAGTGTTGAGAGGTATTATTTAATGGTTTTGCCTAAACCCAACAGTCAAGTTTTTGTAAGTTGTAAAGTATCTTATTGTTTCAGATATGCTGAAAATATTTTTAAATGTTTCCTAGTTGAGTTTGTTTTTCCTTTCTCATTCTGCACCACATTTTGTCAGTATATATATATATATAGAAAGCAGGGAATGACAATGGTCATCCATCTTAAAAAAGTGAAAAAATAAGAGACATGCCAAGAAAAAACTGATGTGAGAAAGAGGGAAAAAAAAAAAAAGCGCTAACCTTCTCTCTTAGTGGCTTTTATAGTAAAGTTTGATAAATGAATGAATGGCTCTTATTTGTTAATACCTGTTAATATTTGCTTCACAAATCTGTGTCTTGTTTCATTTTTCCAAGATTTCTTCTACCACACACAGTTAGATCTACACTAATAAAAGACAAAGATGCTAATTGACTGTACCTTCACTATGCCCACCAGCCAATCAGAAGAGTATGCAAATTAACCCAAGAAAGATGGCGGTTAATTTGCATACACAGGTGCCCAGTGAAGACTGAAGACAGTGTAGAAGGAAGCCAAGCACTGCAGAAGGGAGCCAAGCGGCGGCGAAGGGAATGGATCGGAGGTAGCAGAGACGGGAGCGAAGCTGAGGCAGCGGACACGGGAGGGAGCGAAGTGGCAGAGAAGGGAGGGAGCTGAGGCGGCGGGGAAGGGAGGGAGCTGAGGCGGCGGTGAAGGGAGGGAGCTAAGCAGCGGGGAAGGGAGGGAGGCTCCGGTTTCGCTCCCTTCTCTGCTTCTCTCTGGCCTGAGGAAGCCCTATTCTTGCAGGAATCTTCCTGCAGCGGGCCTCTAGTCCTATATAATAAAAGGCTAATATGCAAATCAACTGAACTGTGGAATGACTGGTCGCTATGATGCGCACTGACCACCAGGGGGCAGATGCTCAATGCAGGAGCTGCCCCCTGGTGGTCAGTGCACTCCCACGGCCAACCTCCTGCAGCCAGCCAACCTCCCCCGGTCCCTCCCCCTGGCCTACTGGCCCCAACCGGCCCCAATCGTCCCTGATCACTGACCAGGCTGAGGGACCCTACCCATGCATATAAAAGAGTCAGATCACTTGCCTACTACACCAAAGCTAACCTAAAGGGGCAAATTTTATTACACCATGTAAGCTATCTGCTCATGATTTCCAACATAGCACAATCTCCAGTGCTTGGGTCTTTAAGGATTGGCAAACCCACTTATTAACTTATGAGACAAAGCCATGTAAATTCCATAGTTTCTCAGACTGAAATTTGACACTACAAAAAACTGGCTGACTTTTTACTGTCAACAATGTCAGCTCTAGCAAAATCTTTTTAAATTCATTAGATAAATTCTGAACATCACTTAAATGGAATTGTACATTTAAAAGGGGTCAAAATGTTTACTTTTCCAAACAGGAAAGAAAAAATCATACTTCAATCAAAAGAGTAAAATCAGTTTAAAAAATTAGAAATCATGAGCTGATCTTCCAACTGTTTCAGTAGAAGTTGCACTGCTAAAAACACATCAACTTCCTGGACTTTGTACTAAGTTTCCACAAAGTATAATAGAAGGCCAAAAAGAAAACATTATCTGGTGATCATGGAATGCCACAGTTGACTACACAATTAATTCAAAGAAGTTTAAGTACTGTGTCTTAAAATGCAGTACTTTGGCTACCCTTGAGTATTTTGGATTAAAGATCTGGCATGAAAATTACTTACATTCTTTCCAAACCTCAATCATTTTTTACTTGAAAAAGACTTTCAGCTAACTACACACACACACACACACACACACACACACGAAGTACTTTTTCTTTTTGCCAGATAACTTAAAACTTTTTAAAATTTTAATAATTTTCTTTTCTTTTTCAGGCTATTTCTGGCTCTTGTCTTTGTCCCTATTACAAATTCTAAAAATTAAAAAAAAAACAACAGATTTTTATTTAATACACACTGCTTAACTAATTTAAGTATTTTCATAGATAAAAACTATTAAAAAAAAGAACAGAATTCACTAGCATTTACTCTGTGAAAAAACAGAATTTCAAGACTGAAAGTAATTAAGGTTATACTTTTAAAAAAAGTAATTTAGAGCTGCCAGGGACTTTAGAGAGTAACCAGGTCAAAGGTTTTCATCAAGAATCAATAAACCAACATGAATGGGCTAGAGGAGGTGCATAAGCCTCCTGATACCATATGCACAATTTGAAGTAAACACTGTGCTTATGAACATTTTTCCTGGGCAGCTATCTAGAGCTTTCATCAAATTCTCCAAGGAGTTAATGTGCCCCCCCCCCACCCCCCCAGAAAGGTTCATGAGCCACTTGCCAAGGTCACACCACTAACTAGTGTTGAGCCAGGTCTCTTGCACAGATCCTTTTCTTCCTAATCACACTTATCTTCATGTTCATGTTTTCCGCAGAACAATCAAGATGTAAGAACTTCCATGACCATTTCTTTCATCATACACATTTGCCAAAAGGCCTCTTGATATTTATTTAAACAGTTCAAAAATATAAATTATTTTGTTCTTCCTCCTGGATTCATGTCAGCAAGTCACCTTATGATATGTCTTATTTGTTATAGCAAATAAGTTTCAGGCAATATCTTACTGATTAAGATGTTTTTATTCTTTTGTTGCAGGAAGAGGACAAAACTAAATATAATTAAGAAAAAGAAAAAGTAATTACAAAAATATTCTTGATTTCGTGCTGGATGCTATTTACACCATTTATCCAATGCTTCATTAAGAGAATATCTATTGCTCTAAGCCCAGTATAGTATCTAACATACTCAGAGGGAAGATAGAAAGCACCAGAAAAAGAGAATATAGGAAAGAACTTTTATTTTATCTTTTAAAATATATATTATTGATTTTTTTACAAAGAGGAAGGGAGAAGGATAGAGAGTTAAAAACATCGATCAAATGGTCATAAGACACTGGGAGGTAGGGGTGGCCGGGGGAATGTCAAGGGGCGGGGGGAGGGGGGGAGACATATGTAATACTCTTTGTAATAATTTAAGCAATTAAAAAAAAAGACTAAACTATGTAAGACAAAAAACAAAACAAAAAAAACAACAACACATCGATCAACTGCCTCCTGCACACCCTCTACTGGGGATGTGCCTGAAACCAA